ATGGCTAAATATTCCTCAACAACATATCACCAATCTGATAGACAGCATGGGCAGGCGTCTCCAGACTTGCATAAATGCTAGAGGTGGAAATACCCAATATTAAAGGTTTTCAAGTTCATTTTTTAAAGAAATCCATCAATTTGTAAATTTTGATTTTTGTTTGAAAATACTCCTATGTTTAAAAAAAAGTTTTTCAGTGTAATAAAATTTTTCTGCAAGTATTGTAGACGTTTTCTTAATTAAAACTAATCAATTAATAAGTCTCTAATTTATTTTTCCTGATAAAAAAAATACTTTCGGAGATTTAGGGTGATGCAAAACTTTTGAATCTATGTGTAGTACGGTATAAGCTTCATTACAGTAATAAGTGGGGAATATTGCCAAGACGAGGTCGTAGACCGAGTCGTGGTAATCACACGAGTGTTGTCAAGATCGTTACCGTACGTGGAATAAACAACATTTTATGTACGACCCAGATTTTTTTATTATGTATTCGAAATGGTTTTAATTTTTCCCAATATTTTAGATTCACAATTTTTTCGAATAAATGATTTTTAAAAAGTGCCATTTTTTCAATAAAAATGAGTTACGTAATGAGTACATTACATCACTGAGTACGATAATACAACTTATTACGTAACTCAAACAGGCTAAAATTAGTTACGTGATAAGCTCTTACAATGTAGGTCGAACATAAAAACAATTTTGATAATCATTATTTGTTGAATTTGGTACCTAGTTGTATGTAGACATATGAAAAGTAGGAACCTAGGTACTTAAGGTTTACTGTTTACTCCTGCTTATATTTTGTTGTTATTTACCGATGTAGTATGTAGTTTGTAGTTGTATATAATGTTATAATGTATATAAATTACCATAAACCCTGTATTGACAAGCGTGTAACATTAATGTACCGGGTGTCAAGTTATAAAGTACCACCACCTCTAACTTTTTTATGTACGATCAAAATGGGGAGCTGAGTGATGGGCAAACGTTTGCCAAAATGCTTCAGATAAAATGGAAATGTTGAGAGATACTCCAAAGCTTTCCTCCATTACATATACAAACATGTATTGTATTTCACATTTTGGATTAAAGTTTAGTGCCTCGTCTTGTTTTTGTATAAAAATTTCCTATCAACTCATATTTACGAAGATTTCAAAATTCAATTGCGCTTATCTGTCGAGTGCACTTTTACAGTGAAGATGAGCTTGTTAACCTATAATAAATAAATACAAATTGTTATTATTACATTAACATGATTGTTGAATTTTATTTAATAAAACATGTAAAAATAATGTAACATTAATGTACCGGGTGTCAAGTTATAAAGTACCACCACCTCTAACTTTTTTATGTACGATCAAAAATAAAAAAGTTTACAGGTGGTGGTACTTTATAACTTGACACTCTGTACACGTGTAACAATAATGTACACCAGCAACGTTTTGGTTAAAACGCTGGTATATCAAAAGTGTAACATCGATAACGTATTTCCATTGAGTTCGTATTTCATATGGAAGATTTACTTTGTTGGCCTCTGGCTTTATTTCGGTATACAGAGGATCGGCGTAGGACGAATACAACTTACGGGGTAGAGATAAAATGAAAAAGGTGTAACATTAATGTACCATCGTCACCAAAAGTATCTGGGACACAAATAATGCATAATAATCTCCTGGACTAATTCTACTGTCATTCATTTCAATGCATTATATTCATAGTTTGACAAATATTTGACAATAAAATTCATATAATAGGACAAGAGCTAATGTGATGCTGTCCCAGTTACTTTTGGTGACGATGGTACATTATCAAAAAATGGGATTAGGGGGGGAAGGGGTTAAAATAAAACTAAAATAACAATTCAGAACCATTTATCTGGTCATTATACATCATAGTATCATTTAGGCCCACGACGAAAAAATTGAAAATATCTTTGGCGGCAAGAGTGTTGAGGAATTTCCAGAAATCTAAGTGAATTCGAGGAGATCCAAAAAATTCAGAAGGTCAGAAGGTATCTGACATGATCCAGGGGAGAATTTGGAATACTTGTTAAAGATATTTGTATACAAGAGTATCTGAAGAAGCTCCATAACGAGATACGAATATCAATTGAGACGCTCCAAGAAGATCAAAGAGATATATATCTGAGTCGATTCAGGTATATTTTGCAATACTTTTTGAAGATATGTTGCCAGAAAAAAATTTCAGGGTCACAAGAGATATTAAGGAGATTCCCAGAAATCCAATTTAATTTGAGATTTAAGAAAATTCAGAAGATATTTGAAAAAATCCAGAGGAGACTTTGGGATACTTGTTAAAGATATTTGTATTTCAAGAGGAGAAAGTTGGGAGATATCCAAAGATATTACAGATCCCAGGAAATTCAAAGAGAATCAAGTAAATTTGAATATATTCATGGGATATTTCCTAGTAGATTGCTTATTGCGTTCAAAAGAAAGAATATCCGAAGATATCAAGAAAAGCTCCAACAAGATTCGAATACTCCTGACACGCTCCAAGAAGATTATAGAGATATCTTAAGAGATCCTGAAAGATTTTGGAATACTTTTGGAAGATATTTTGTATGCCAGAGGAAGATTTTATGATATCCAAAGATATTAAGGAGATTCCCAGAAATTCAAGGTAATTTGAGGGGATCCAAGGAGATTCAGAAGATATTTGAGAAGATATCTGAGAAGATCCAGGAAAGACTTTGGGATACTTGTTGAAGATATGTATATACCAAGAGCAGAAAATTTGGAGATATCCAAAGATATTAAAGATTTCAGGAAATCTCAAGAAATTCAAGTAAATCTAGGAGATTGTTTATAGTGTTCCAAAGGAAGAATATCTGAAGATATCTGGAGAAACTTCACAACGACATACGAATATTAAATGAGGCGCTTAAAGAATATTAAAGAGATATCTGAGGAGATCCAGAAGATTTTGAAATACTTTTTGAAGAAATTTTGTATACTAGGAATAGATTTTAGGATATCAATTAAAGATATTATGGAGATTCTTAAGTGTATTTGTGGAGATCCAAGGAGATTCAGAAATTTCGACATTTTACTATATAGGAATTTTCAATGAAGATGATCATAAAGAAGCAATCATTACCTAATGAGTACTGTAAATTATTTAAATTTTGAAAAATTCGAAGAGATGACGTTCAACAGGCCATGATTCAGGTATTGTTTATCTATTATTAGCTTTTGAATTTCCTATATTCAAATTTAAAAAAAAAAAAACAGAAATTCAAGAGCTTGGAATAGACAGAAAATTGAGAAATAAAGAGAGCAGATTTAGGAATACCTACTTGAGAAAACATTGGTGAAAAAAATTATTCTTTTTCCAATATTGGCTCTTGATTTTTTTCTGTCTAAAGAAATTTCTTTCTTGGAAACAAAAGTTTAAATGCTTGAAATGGATAACAATTGAGAAATCGAAAGAGGAAAATCAAGAATAATTGAGATAATATTGACGAAAAAAATGGTTCTTCTGAATTTTCTCTATTTGGAGAAGTTTGAAGAAAAAAGAAATTCTGAAGAATTCAAAAATGAGGAGAGAAAATTTTTAATTTTAGAATGATGGAGGAATGATGTTATAATAGACAAAAATTAAGACAGAAAATTGAGAAATGGAGAGAGCAGATTTAGGAGAAATTGAATTTGGTCTTCCAAGAAGCTATGGTTTAAGTAACGGTAACATAAAAAAAACAACAGGCTATATAATAGTATCTCAGAATTGGGGCTAGAGGCTAAACGTACTTCGGAATGTTCTACAACATATTCTTTTCTCCACGAAGTCGAACCCCTTTTTGATTTTCTGGTATTGAAGGCAGGACAGATTGCTGTACTACTGCTTGATACTGCTTGTAACAGTGGGTCATTTGTTGCAATCGGGGATAGTTTTTCTTTTTCAACAACGGGTACGTCAGTTGTATTCAAATTCACTGATATGCGGCGGGCTATTTCTACGCGACTTCGGCTTGAACTTTTTCAGAGCAGAAGGGAGTTGATATTGATAATTATGATAGTTGATTTTTTATAAGGACGGTGGATTACGCGAAATAACGTATGATTTGATGATTAATGGCGTGGGGAGTGAAATATTTTAATATATTTTTATAAATATTCGAATGGCCCACCTGTCGAAGACGTCATCTGGCCTACCGGGATTTTGCCCGGTGGGCCAGTCCGACACTGCTTAAGTAGGTTTATCTCGAGATAATTTATTTAATAATTATCTCAGGAAACTGTAGCTCAAAAGTCACAAACACAGAAACCAAAAACGTCAGCTAAAGTAACTGAAAACTTCCAATGAATGGACGTTTTTCTCTAGTAGTGCAAATGTCTTTGCTTCGAACGTCATATAGACGTCGAGAAAGGGCGTTTCGAAAACGAAAAAAGATGTTTTTTAAAGATTTTCCAGAATATCCACTGCTGGACGTCGTTTAAGAAGTAGGTACCTATCCAGGAACATTCAACGTTTTGAAATAGTTTCAGAAATGATTTGTAAAACCGTCTAAAAAACGTCCTTTTTATACCTTTTCAAAAACACTCTGACTCCTGACATGGACTGTTGTTGGTTTTAAAAACGTCTTACAATAATAATTTCCCAAACTTGAATCTTGATGCTTATGAACATTTTGGACAGAATAAAAACCCAAAAGAGATCGATATTCTGAGGAATTAAGACTGCGAATGATGAGGAACCAAATAACGATTACAAAATAATCTCCGTTAACAAAGCTATTAATGAACCTTTTATGGAATTTATTTTTGGGTCAAAAGCCATTATACCAATTTAAACCGCAGGGGTTATCAGACATAGGGGCCCTTTTCATGAAAGAAACAATTGAACGCGTCTATACATCCAATAAAGTCGGGACGGCAATTCAGCTGACATCCCAAGAGGGGTTGATTAAAACGATCCTACCGTTGATTATTACGATTAATAAAGTTTATGGCAAAATATACCCAAATACATACCCTTTCTTTTCCTGAATTTCCTGAATTTTCCTTGCGGTTTGGGTTTACATTTCAGCGGCGATCTTCCCGTGGAAAATTCCACGATCTTCATCATACAACACAGCAGTAGCACGATCATGTCTTTTTTTATAAAATGCCCGGTTTTAAAGTGTCTGTTTTTATCATTGTTGAGGGCATTTTGCCTTAATTGGGGCACAGTCATAAAAAAGGGTGTAGCCTTAAATAATGCTAAAATATGAATAATTGATTTTGATTATTGCGCATATAGTAATAAGTAACTTTAAATGCATCTATTAATTTGATAAACGAAAAGTATTTTGAATTTAAACTATACTTAGGTATACCCACTGTACTTACATTAAATATTGAATAAAAAGTTTAATCAAATAATTCAATTGGTGCTTCTTTTAATGAAATCCCAATAATAATTTATTATCTTCAAAAGGAAATTTAAATTCAACATGCAAATAGAAAATTATCAAATTCAAATAACGAACGAACGATAAACAAAGGACCCACGTATTTTTACTTCCTGTCGAAGTACCCAAGAAAATGGCCGCGCTTGATGACGCCTTAATTAAAAAAAGTACTTCAATTACAAAGTCAAAGCCACACGCACTTGAGTCACTTCAATCCCCGAGAAAATATTATTGTCCAAATGTACTTTAGTTTAAATACACATAAAATATTTAATCACAAAACTTTATTATGTCGGATCGAACTTTACTTTTAAGCCAAACTATAAGTAGAATAGTGGCTTTGGCACTCATCCAGGATCCAGATCGAGCCAGTGCGGTACTAGAGTCGACGTACGTTGTTGCGCCCAATAGACTGTTTGTTTTTCTATGGAGTTAATAATAGTACCAGAGTTTGTGGTACACGTGCAGTACAAGCGCCAGTTGGTCCATTTAGGCCAACCCAGGATTTACACAGATTTGAATGGAAAAGGTTTGAAATTTGAGAAAAACATCCTTCTGCTTGCACACTTGAATTTTTTGAATTTTGATGTTTTGCAGCTGCATAAACATTAAAGCTACATTGAATTGAAATTGATTGGCTTGAAGTTTTTGAAAGAACGGATTGAAACCTTGCAAAAGGGTTTAAAAAGGTTTGAAATTCAAAAAGAAAATCCTGTTGCTGGATCGCCTTGTTTTTTCCATTGTGACTTTTTATTGTTTTTCTAGAAAAGTGTTCAAATTCTATATAAAGGCTAATTTTTTAATGCTATAATACCTATGCTTTTATTCATATTTCGTGTGCTTGTGTTACCTACCATACTAATTCAACGTCGGTCTTAGCTTTATGCATCGACGCTATTATATTTTTAATACAAATATAAGTGGGTCCGTATTTTTATATCCCGAAATAATTATATACAACACACACCGAGCCTGTGTGTGCGCCTGCAAGATTTCTAGGCGGGAGATTTTGTATCTTAATTTTAGCCCAGGACAAAAATAATGCCTGAAGAAAAGTTGAATCTCTTTCTCTCTTTTACGAAGTATATTGAAAATTATAATGAATCAATTGGAAAATGATTAAAGCCAGTAAGACATCCACATCCAGATTTCATATTCTGCACAAATGTTAAATCCAGGGCAATTTTCTTCATTAAATCGGTTTTTCGATTTTCCCAAATACGTGATACGCTACCTAACACTTTTTCATTTTTTTACCAATGCACAGGTGGTTTATTTTCAGGAAAAACTCCGGGGTAAAACGCAGGTCAGTTTTTTGTACACCATAGATTACCAGTAAAATTCCCCAAAAGTTTCCCTGATAACAACTTCAAATTATAAAGATTCCTGGAAACTGCGCATGCGTTAGATCTAGAGAAGACCGATTCCCTATGATTTCCTTAAGATTTCCCCTGAGTTCCTTAAGATTTCTCTTGATTTCCTTATGATTTCTCCCGATTGCCTTGGATTTCCGCTTAATTTACCCTGATTTGTACAACAGATTTCCTTTGCGGTTTAAACCGCAGGTCAGTTTTTGTACTCCAGATTGCGATTTTAGGGATGATTATGGATAATTTCCCATGATTTCCCTCGGTTTCTTCTGATTACCATTAAGATTGCCCAAGGTTTCTCCTTTTTTTGAAAACAGCACATGCGTTAGATTTGAGGTCTGTTCTCACAGATATCACAAACCTAGAGAGCGTATTTCATTGGTTGACAACAGTCAGAAAACTGGTTGTTAACGATTTGCACCAATCAAAAACGCTCTGAGTAGTTTGTGATATCTGTGAGAAGAGGCCTCTAGAAATTGACTGATTTTCTTGAGATTTTCCGTAACATTTCCCTTGATTCCCTCATGATTTGCTCTGATTTCTCCTGATTGCTTCAGATTTTCTTAAATTTCCTCTTGATATCTCCTAATTTGTACAAGATTTCCCTTGCGGTTTACCCCTCGGCAAAAACTTAAAGTAGGTTCGTATTCTAGCTTGATCTTCGTCAATCAGTCAGGTTTGTCTTTAGTGATTTATTTCCTAAGATTTTGTAGTTTATTATTCTAAAATTTCAATAAACTTTACTTCAAAAATTTAAAGAAAAATGTACCACATAAGACTACAATTTTTGCTACAAATTTTTCAATAAAGAAAATTTCAAGTAAGATTTGGAAGCAGAACCTTGAAATACTATCTTATCATCAGAAAAACAATGAAAACTCAATTTGAAGCAAATTTTTTTATATTTTCAACCCATCAGGGCCATAAAGTGCCCTAAAACCGAACCGATTTTGGAAAAAATAAAATGGACACAATGTTAATAAAGAAAGTATTATTATTCAACTGTCAAAAGATGACTTGGAACCCCAAGACATAATTCAAATTCAAAGAAATCGGTTCAAAGACAAACAAGTTATAGCCAATCTAATAAAGCGGTGTCGAATCGCCAAAAAATGGGGAAAATTCATGGGAAATCGGAAAAGTTACGGGAAAAAAAACTTGATTCTGGGACTTTTTGGGATCCTCTCTACAAAATGGCTTTCTTGAAATTTCGAAATTTTGACTTTTGTTTTTGGCCCTATACCCTATACCTACTGTCAACACAGGAAACTCTAAAAAATGACGAAAATTGAAACTTCAACCGGCAATAACTCCGTAATGGTAAGTCGTACAGGAAAACTCTTCACAGGCAGATTGTAGAACTCGTCGAGATCTACAAAAAAGCTTTGCGAGTCTTACCTCTCCAACTTATAGTCCAGGAGCTGGCGTCGAAAATATGCAAGAGTTTTCGCAAGGCTCATATTTTCAGAATGAGTAGTATTTTAGTGCTACAAAGCTAGGCTACAGTCAGCAGTTCCAGTTCCGGGACACCTGGCGCTGAGATGCGCGCAAAGGTGTATTTTTAATCAACACCTCGCAACAGTTTTCGCAAAGCTGAAAATTTGCAAAGAGCATGCGAATATAATGTAGAACCATAATTTAACAGTCAGACAAAGAAATACGGGGACACGTAGAGTCAGCGCGACTTTCAAGTGGTCAAAAAAATGACGTCACCAAAAGTGTTTTCGCATGGCTGAAATTTGGCAAGGTAATAGTAAAAACAATGTATTTATTGAAAAAAAAAGTCAGACACTTCTATGTCGGGACCCCGCCAGTCAGCAGTCGATTAGAGTGATATAGGTGGTAGCGCGCGTCAATAGGCATATATCCATGTCGAATAATAATTTCACCAAAAGTGTTTTCGCATAGCTGAAATTTGGCAAGGTAATAGTAAAAACAATATATTTATTGAAAAAAACAGTCAGACACTTCTATGTTGGGACTCCCTCAGTCAGCAGTCGATTAAAGTGATATAGGTGGTAGCGCTCGTCTATATATATCCATTTCGATGAATAATTTTATTTCTATAATTTAAATTATTTGGAATCGGAAACGGTAAAATACATTTTTTTTTCTCTTAATGAGTAAGTGTAAACCTGTAAGTTGCAAGCGTAAGCGCGTATACTTGAATAAGGCGTATATGCATTCGAATTCGGAAACTTCATTATGGTACTGTTAGGTCGAGATTAGGGGATGGGAAGCGGCAGATGTGATTAGAATTTTTTTTTTGTATTTTATAAAATCGGCGACGATTATAAGTATTTAATGAAACTTACTATAGGTATACTATCACAGTACTGCTGATTAAATGGTCAAGTAATATTTATACGAATCGGGCTTTTTTCTAACCGCAAACTTTTTAACTGCATGTACAATTTTATTTTACCGTTTCCGATTCCAAATAATTTAAATTATAAAAATAAAATTATTCATCGAAATGGATATTATATATAGAGTAAAATTCTATTGACGCGCGCTACCACCTATATCATTTTAATCGACTGCTGACTGAGGGGAGTCCCGACATAGAAGTGTCTGACTGTTTTTTTCAATAAATATATTGTTTTTACTATTACCTTGCCAAATTTCAGCTAGGCGAAAACACTTTTGGTGAAATTATTATTCGACATGGATATATGCCTATTGACGCGCGCTACCACCTATATCACTCTAATCGACTGCTGACTGGCGGGGTCCCGACATAGAAGTGTCTGACTGTTTTTTTCAATAAATATATTGTTTTTACTATTACCTTGCCAAATTTCAGCCATGCGAAAACACTTTCGGTGACGTCATTTTTTTGACCACTTCAAAGTCGCGCTGACTCTACGTGTCCCCGTATTTATTTGTCTGACTGTTAAATTATGGTTCTACATTATATTCGCATGCTCTCTGCAAATTTTCAGCTTTGCGAAAACTGTTGCGAGGTGTTGATTAAAAATACACCTTTGCGCGCATCTCAGCGCCAGGTGTCCCGGAACTGGAACTGCTGACTGTAGCCTAGCTTTGTAGTACTAAAATTCTACTCATTCTGAAAATATGAGCCTTGCGAAAACTCTTGCATATTTTCGACGCCAGCTCCCCGACTATTACCATTTCCGAGATATTTCACTTGGAAGTTTTAAAATAATTGGGTTAGCCTTGCTTTTTTTTTTCGGCCAAAAAATCAAAGTCAAAATTTCCCGGATTTTCTTTCAACTACGCCATAGAGGAGGTTCAGAGAAATGTCAGAACCCACTTTTCCCCGTTAATTTCCCGGTTTTCTAGGAGTTTCCGGCCCTTTTCTATACCCCATAAAATGGAAAAATCAAAATTTTCTGAATTTTGGAAAAACAAAAATTTCACTGTATAGAGGAGGTCAAAACAAGCAGAAAAGCTATTTGGCATTTTCCCATAGGACGTCTCTTAAGTCTGGAAAAAAAAATAAAAAAGAAAAATTAATAGGGATGGAGTCTTTTCCAGCCTGACATGGGCTTATTAAATGGGCCATAACTATGGAACGCCTGGATCGATTTCAATGAATCGTATTTCATTCGATTTAGGATTAAATTGCCCACAGAATGGTTTTCTCCAGAAATTGTTCCCCTTGTAGGTTATAAGCCTTTAAGTTTACAATTTTCTGAAAAATTAGCTTTGTTTCAGGTGGAGTTTCAACTTTCAGGACAGCTCCTAGTGCCCTTCTGTCCATCTATTATTGTTAGTTATGGAAGAAAATAAACAATAGAACGCTTTTTTGGTTTAGTTTTTTTTTATTATTCTCCTCCCCAATAATGCAGTGAGTGAATTGAGGCAGTGACATGTTTATGGAAACAGATTTCCTAGAAAGTTTCAACTTTGAAGGCTGATAACGCAAACACTGGACAACTTATTTCGTGTCTTAATGGTCCTTTAGGATCTCCCAAACTCCATACACTACATTTTTCTGAGATTTGGAGCCAGATTCTATGAAAAAAGGCACTCAGATTTGAAGTCCCGAGATTTTATACGACTTTTTTGAGAAAACCAGTGCAAGATTATGAGTCAGGATTCAAGACAAAGGAAACTGAAATTCAAAATTTACAAGAGTCTTTTTTGAGATAACCAGTGCCAAGCTTGCAAGATTTGAGAAGTTTCCCAATAATA